TGGGCCTCTGAGAGCGAGGCGCTCCTCGGGGAAGGCGAAGGGTTTTATTTGTTGATCGCCAACCGCCAAATTCGATCCGCCGGCGCTGGCGCCTCCTGCGGGGCGGAGCTTCGCCGCGTCGACGGCTTCAGTAACCGTTTCCCAAACTCCGCTGCCAGCGGGGGACCCCGGGTCCCGCGGGAGGGGTGAGCGCGGTGGCAGGGCCCGGGGGTGACGACGTGGACCTCGCGAAGAGCCTATAAGGAAAGAATTTGAAAGACAGAGAATGTAGGAAAAAGATGTGGCGGCGGCGTATGGGTTTCCACCTGGACGGACTCCTCGCTCTCTCCGTGAGGAATGGCGACGGAGCACGAAGAAAAAGGGTCAGGCTCTCTTGCGAGTGGGAAATCTTTGAAGAATTTCGCCAATGAAAAAGAAATCCATTTTTTCGAGTCAATGATTTGCATTTTAAATGAGTAAAGATGATTCATTGTCCAAGGAATTAAGACGTAAACGGTTGTCTGCAGGTGTCATTCCTGCCTAAATATGGCATCATTACAAGAAAGAAAAAATCTCAATACTTATTTTCAAATAATTCATACAGTCAATATTCTTTTTCACTCCCTACTCTCCTACCCCTACACACATGCTTATATCAGAGGTTACACATATTTTCATTAAAATAAAATAAAATAAAATAAAATGAAATGGATAGCCCGGCCCTGGCCCAGCGGTCGAGCATCCACCGGGGATCCCGGAGCTGGCAGCTGGATTCCTGGCCGGGGCTGCAGGTGACGCCCAGCAGGGGGCGTGCAGGAGGCAGCCCATCAATGCCTCTCTCATCACTGATGTTTCTCTCTCCCTCTCCCTTCCTCTCTCTGAAATCAATAAAGACGACTTTTAAAAAAAAACAAAAACAAAAGACACACTTTTAAGGAACTTGAAGAACAGGACCGGGATGGGGGAAACAAAGCTTTCATATATACACAAGACTGTTTAAAAAATTGTATGGAGGTGCCACTTTTTAAATAATATCTTTTTTATTGATTTTAGAGAGGAAGGGAGAGGGAGAGAGAGAAACACTGACAGCAACATCGACGGGCTCCTCCTGCAGGCCCCCTGCTGGGGACCCAGCCCGCACCCCAGCATGTGCCTCCAGGGGACCTCCTGGTGCCTGGGTAGGCGCTCCACCACTGAGCCACACCTGCCTGGCTGGAAGTGCCCTTTTTAAGTAAAATGAAGTAGTGCTGGACCTTTGAGGAAAGCGGGGATGGGGTCAGAAAAGACTTAAAACTGAAATGATTTTGGAAGAAGAAATGGTAATAGGGAAGGGCAAACGCTAGACATCCTAGACCTTACTTTCCCAAAAGATTCCTGTCCTACCAACCTGTTTTCCAACCTGTTTAAATCTCCGTAAGCTTTCAGAGTGAAGCTCTGAAAGACATTCGAAGGCTATCTATTGCGTAAGGTAGTAGTTGGTTAAACCTTAAGTTTTCATACGAAGCACTGGTGAGCCTGTTTAAAAGCTGGTTCTTTCACCTAGCCAGGGGCGTCCGTTGGTTGGAGCATCCTCCCCATACACCGAAAGGTTTCAGTTTCAATTCCCCGTCAGGGCACATACCCAGGTTTCAGTTTGAAATCCCAGTTGGGGCTCCTGTGGTGAGGCAACCAACAGAAGTCTCTCTCACATCAATGTTTCTCTCTCTTTCTCTCCCCCAGAATCAATAAAAACATATCCTTGGGCCTGGCTGGGCTTGACTCAGCAGTTGAGCTTTGACCTAGGATCCAGGAGATCACAGTTTGATTCCCAGTCAGGGCACATGCCCAGGTTGCGGGCTTGATCCCCAGTGGGGGCTGTGAGGGGGGCAGCGGATCAATGAGGATTCTCTCATCTTTGATGTTTCTCTCTCTCTCTCTCCCTCTCCCTTCCTCTCTTTAAAATCACTAAAGATATATTTAAAAAGAACACACACAAAAGAACATATCCTTGGGTAAGGATTTAAAAACAACAATAATAAATAAATAAATAAATAAATAAGCAAGTAAATAAATAATAAAAGCTGGTTCTTTGGGCCCATCCCCATATTTACTTCTAGCAGCAGCTCATGATTGTAATCTGAGTATTCTATAGAGAAACAGAGGCCTGGCCCAAACTTAACTACCCTCCCATGATTTCATCCCCATATACCTCTCAAGCTGAAGCTCCCACTAATCCCAAGCTTTCATTTTAGTGCCTCCTGCTCTGCAAAATACTTTTCCCTTTGTTCTGGAATGACCTTACTTCAAAATTCAGACTTACCTATTGTCCCCCTACACCACCCCAGACAAAGTTCATCACTTCTTCCTCAGTACTCATTCTGTACCCTATGTTTTTGTAGCTGCACCTTGACAATTTTCATATACTAGAAAATAAAAATCTGTATTACAGATTAATGATTTTAATATGATCATAATTCATAAAGACAAGTCCTCCTTATTCCCTCAGATGATGGTGGTGGAAAAGAGAAGAATAAGAGGTGAATTGGGGAGGCTTGTTTTGAGAGAATTCCATGCAACTTGATACAACCCACTAGTCTGGTTTCTCAATCATCATGGATAATCAGTTTTAAAGAAAATTATCTTCTATATTCCTAAACTTCATGGTCTCATGTAATTAAAACAATCAAATGCTTTATTTTGTTCAAATAGAGGTGACTTCTGAGTTTTTTAAATCCAAAAAATGAATTTATTGTTTTAGGTTTTTTACTCATGTGATTTTCTTTCAATCTACATATTATTGTCCTCTCAAATGTGTTGCAAAAATATTTCAGAGATCCACACTACCAATAGATTATTCTTCCTTTTTTTAAAAAAAAAATATTTTTATTGATTTCAGAGAGAGAAAGAGAGGGAGAGAAAGAAATAGAAACCAATGATGAGAGTTGTCATTGATCGGCTGCCTCCTGCACGCCCCCTACTGGGGATCAAGTCCACAATCCGGGCATGTGACCTGACCAGGATTCGAAACTCAGTCTCCTGGATCCTAAATTGATGCTCAACCGCTAAGCTACACCCAGCCAGGATAGATTATTCTTCCTTAATTACAGCTTTCACTCTATCACCCTCTCTTCTGTAATTTCTATGGCTCCCTACTGCATCCAAAGCTTTCCACGGTTTTATTCCTATCTGATCTTCCTGCCTGATTATTCCTGACTTTCCACATCCATTTTAGCTTCAGCGTAATTGGATGTCTTGCCATCACCTCCACCATCACCTCTCAGAGTGGAGATAAGAGTTGTCTGTACTGGGAAGAGATTAACCAAAGAACATGTATGTATATATGCATAGCCCATGGGCACAGACAATAATCTAGTGAAGGCCTGTGGTGGCGTGGGGGGGGTGGAGGTGGGCAAAAGGGGGGGGAATGGGGACATGTGTAATACTGTCAACAATAAAGAGTTGTCTGTGCTGGAAAAGAAGGGAGTCTGCAAGGAGAGCAAGAGCATTAAATGCTAGTGAGAGTTTTTCATGCCCACCCCTCAAAACGTAGCAATAGATAGAAACTCCAGAGCTTCCAAGGACATGTAACAAAATCAGCTTTGAGTAGACCTCTCAGATACACGTCTAAGCAGGGAGGGTTTGAGATAACCCCTTTACCCCGAGGCAGGTTAGTAGGAAACCAGGAAAATTCCCTGGCAAATGGAATGAAGAAACAGACAGA